GCTCCGGGCTCCAGACCGACGAATAGACGAACCACACAAAAAAGTAAAAATTGGCCTCAAGTTTGACCGTGAACTACAACCTCAACTTCATCTGCTTCAAGCCCGTCAGATACAGAGACTGGACTCTGAGCTTGGTTTGCCAAGACGTAATTCTCTTTGTGGCGCCAAAAGATGAAAATGAATATTTGGCCGGGAACGAAGCGTAGCTCCGAACGAGGCTTTTTCAATCAAAGCTAAGCTGATTGGCAACATTATCTCAACATCTTTATTGTCATGGTAGTAACGCAAACGACGCTGTCATGGCCTCCTTTACGTTTACTCTTTTTTCTCAAGTACTCCGGATGCACCCAAACTTATGCAAGTCTGTCAAACTTGAATCCCGGTATTGGATGGGATTCCCAAATGCAATACGAACCTACTGACACATCTACGGCTTCTCTAGACACAACCGGTCTTGCATTGTTACCGCGAACAGCCTCAAATTATGATGACAATCCACACAATACAGACGAAGGTGACCATCAAAACACTTTGATATAAAGCACGGGATTCGTTAAAAATACGCTTTTTTTCAACTCGGTAGTTTAAAATGTTCAATTATCCCCTCACTCTGTACACCTTTTCGTGTAGTTTGAACAGAGACTGGAACAGGACAGGTCTGTTTTCGTCGCAAAACGTCTCGAATTGTACCAAGTTCATAGTCTGTTGCTGAGAGCTATTATAACCACTACAGCAGAGCACCTCGAACCAGGTGCGTCCAACTTTGTCGCCCTGACAACTCAACCAAGTCGAGAAAGCGAGTTAAAACCCCCTCCAAATTATCAGCATCATCATCAGCATCATCTGGGCATTCAAGAAGAACGACAACTCCGTTGGCCTTCTTCATGGCCAAACAAAAGATGACTTGAGATCATAAAATTGCTGCCTCAACTCTCAGTTTGTTTGAAGTAGTGGTTGTAAGGCAGGAGGGTTGTCTTGAGGTTGTGACTGTTGCTAGGTGCCAAAGTGTTCTCGACAAATTGTCCTGGCGTCTGTCCTGTCGTGACAGACAGTGCTCCAGGAAATGTTCGTAAAGGATGGCTTCCAACTCTGACGAGTTTTGTTGCAAGACTACTTCAATCGGTTGCGTAGTCAACGCTTCAAGATGATCAAACCAAATTAAAGGTCCCAAGGTATGAATCTAAGAGGGGCTTCATAGAAAGCTCAACTTTCCCGCATATAGAGCCTTAAATTCGAGTCCTCGATTCGCAGCCGTACTTGGGACCCGTGACATCTGCGATGAGCAGAGCTCCGAGTGGGTACTGAAAGTGGCACTGAACTTCGTGTACTAAACGGAATTTCCTAAAATCATTCATCTTTAAGACGACAGAAGATGTTCTCTTTCTTTCGACTGTTGATAGCCGCTCTGATGGTTGACTTTATTCCAGTCCCCAAAAGGTCTAGTCTTTCATGCGGCGCGCAACATCATCTTGGTAACACTCAGTTCCGGCCATCGCCATAGCAATTAAGCTTGGAGCCGTTTTGATGTTGCATTCTGAACAATGTCGTTTGGCAGCAGAGTGACCCATGCATTGGTCTCACCGAGAGAGTCGAAGTAAATATGCCTACTTAAAACATGGACAGTCTGATTAAGAGAGCATGATTGATGTCTACCCAACTTCTCGGCTTTATAAGTGGGATTGAGGTGTTGAAACACGATCAGACTTCCCCAGCCCGACAGTTGCCAAACTAACTCCTGCACTCGAAGGTACAATCACTTTTTTGCAAGCCATAGTCTATCATTATCTGCACGAAACAGCTTCTAATATTATAATCGCAAATCAATTTGCAATTACGACTCAATTAAAGTATCCTCAAAGTTGTATTTCATTGTCATTAGTATCAACAGCCTTGTTTCAAATAGAAACGTTCCATCTGGAAATTCCTCATGATTTAATGAAAACGTCTCACAGCAGCGAATATATAACTTAGAGACACTTAATTAATATGAATTTAAATAACAGTAGCATTGCGAAACATTTATTTACACCGTAATGATATAGTGGAAAATTTGTGAATAAAACATTTAATCATACTTTATCAAAGTATCCCGGAAGTAGCTAATAAGTAGTATTTCAGTACAAGTATCTACTGGTGGAAAACGAGCGATTGGCCCAATTATTGTTTATCACAAAGTGATTAAAATAATTAACAAAAATTAATTAATTAATTAATTGATTACTATTAATAAGCAATAGTAGTTGAGTTTAACCGATTCATCGTATTTGTGCAAAGAGTTGGGAAACTGAAGCATTCATGTCATCTTCAGATGAAGTCTGTTGCTAATATTCCTCATTCTTCCCAAGTCCGATGGCAACCTTCTTCTCCTGGGCAACGCTGGAAACGACTAAATTGTGGGCTTTGCTCGCATTTCGGCCATCTTGCCTTTGTTTTGTCCGCCAACCGGCTTCATGCCGATGGATATGAGGTGCATTCTGCAAGGCCTCGGTCGTGTCCGACCCTGTTGTCTTGGTGACGTAGACAGCAGCACCGGTAGCACTCCAGGCTCTGTTGATTGGCCGCTCTAGTCGATTGACTGTCGCGCCAGTCCGTGTTTACGCAAGTTGGGCAGAGGGAGACGCACATTTACGTCCGCTACCACTTGTAGCAGGATCAAGGTCGGCCTGTGTCAAGTCGGGATTCACACATCTTTGTGTGATTTTTTCAACTTTCCAGCTTACAGTTGAAAACCATTCGGTCAAAACCGTTGTCCCCAACCGGTGGAGGCACACGATAAACAAATACTGGGGTCAATCTTGTCACAAATTCGGTTTTTCCCACACTTTGTATTTGATTTGTGCGCAAGGTTGACTACATTTCTGTGATTCTTCATTTTTCCTGCCACGTTGTTTGTCTGCTTAAGTGCACTTATTAGTTCGTAGCATATCGGAAATGTGAATGTTTTCCAAAATCACTTAACCATATTGATTTTCATATATACAATCACTACCATTAGCTAAACATGGTGTCCCACCGCAATGGTTACCAAATCGGCTGTCGCTGAGAAGTGAATCGTAATGTAATGCAGAACAAATGAATGTAATGTGCACACAAAGTGGCCGAATGGACAAAGGCCTTTACGTCATCTCGGCGACAAGTTTGGGTGAAGCAGAGCCTGCTTTGCTACCTCGAACCAACTCACACCAACGGCCTAATTCGTGCCTGAATGCTCTTACGTTTTGTCTTCCTCGATGTCTTCCGCGAGCCTTCCACGATGCCCAGAATGGTCGATGTGTGCGGGCCGGGCAGAATTGGCTCAATCGCGTCCATCCCGTCGGAAAAGGAGTATTTTATGCGTAGAATATGAAGAAAAACTAGATTTCACAGAATTTCTTAGTGACTTATTGTCACATGACTTTGCAAGTCTAAGAAAAAGTTGATTAAAAGGAATGAGTGAATTTGTCCGAAACCGAAGGAGGATTGCCGCAGAGTGGAACGAAGACTGTTGGACGATCCGAAGAAGTCCTCGACTCACCGTTCTGTGATCCCGATCAACATGTGCCGAGCTTTCGTCTGAAATAGCGCGAAAATATGTTAAACTAAGAGGATTGCATATTTGTGCGCTCTTTCGTAAAGTGTGGATTCTCGGTACAGAACAGTGAGTCGAGGACTCCTTCGGACGGCCCAACAGTCTTCATTCCACTCTGCAGCAATTCTCCTTCAATTTCAAACAAATTCACTGATTCCTTTTGACCAACTTTTGCTTAAACTTTCGCAATTCACTAATTCATTTTACCAGCGTTTCCTTCGAAATGGAAAGTCGTAATTTTTCACCATTTATGCTCTGAATACATGAAGTTATGAAGATCAAGATGTTGTGGTGGTCGCAGTCTCCTTGCGATTTATAGAAGTGGGTTGACCTCGTTGTCCCAACTTGGTCTTGTTGCCAGGGCGACTTAGTAGAACGCATCTAGTCCGAAGTCGTCTGCCGTAGTGGTTGTCATCATTCCCAGCATCAGACAGTGGACTTGGTACATTCTCAAACGTTTCGCCGGCATCGGATACCGAACGATCAGAACTAGCGGAACACATCGCACAGACTAGACACGAGATCACTTGGAAGGCAACAGAAAGAATACAACACAACAACACAAGCAAGCGTGCTTGAGGGGAAAAATCTAACGAACAGGAGAAGGACAGGATCCAGGCGTCTGCTTTTCGCTGGTCATGCTCTATTCTTGTTTTCCCAGAGTTTGCTTAAACAGGAGGCAAAGGTGTAAAATATGAAGAAAAACTAGATTTCACAGAATTTCTTTGTGATTTATTGTCACATGACTTTCCAAGTCCGAGAAAAAGTTGGTTAAAAGGAATGAGTGAATTTGTCTGAAACTGAAGGAGGATTGCCTCAGAGGGAGTAAACCAATACACCGGGACGGGAACCGAGTGTAATCGGTCAACCAGAAAGAGAAGGAACTTCATTCCTCCTTCGGTTTCAGACAAATTCACTCATTCCTTTTAACCCGCTTTTTCGTAGACTTGGAAAGTCATGTGACAATAAATCACTAAGAAATTCTGTGAAATCCAGTTTTTCTTCATATTTCACACATAAAATACTCCTTTGGAGGAGGGCCGAGTTAGTGATACCTACTTCCTCCTGTTTAAGCAAACTCGAGGGAAACAAAAATAGAGCAAGATCAGCAAAAAGGCGACGCCTGGATCAAGGATCTGTCGCTAACCGGAGGAAAAGGGATCTCGATCAAGAAAGAGGGGGCAGGGGTTTTCGTCAATCAAGCGAAGACGTTGTCAGAAAGTGATGTCCATTTCGAGGGGAACCGAGTGAAATCGGTCAACCAGAAAGAGAAGGAACGGATCTACGAGACAATGAGGCGATCTGTGTGATGTGGCCACACATTTTGACGAATGGGATGCAAACAAGTGAGAAGTTGTGATGGGGCGGCTGTGGGATTGGAGGCTAAAGAGTAGATGGATAGACAATGAGAGAAAGTGGAGTGATAGAGTAACCTAGTCTCTCCCTAGTCTCTTTGACGAGTTCGTCGCTTGGTGTGGAGAACGGCAAAACACACTTTGATTACGGCCTACTCTTAATCCGGTCTCATACCTTCGCTACCGGATTCGCCTACCTTTTCTACAGGGCTCGTTTCCGTCCGGAGCCGCGGCTAGTCTGTTTCCGTGCTCTTCACACCACCGACAAATCATAACGCAGCCTTCTATCAACACGCTCAATAGCTAGTCGCAGAATG